AACGGGGTCGTTACCGAGAACCGCCGGATCTCCGGTACGGGGACCGGAGGACGGATGAGACGGCGGTGGAGGCGGTGGAGGCGGCGGAGGGGTCCCTGTCTCGCTGCTCCGCTGGTGGATTCTCGGAAGCCCTCGGCGGAGGCGGAGAGAGAGACAGAGAGTCGCCCTCGGTCAAGGACGAAGGGAAGAAGAGTCAAGGGAGAGACTACTGCAGGCAGGGGTTTTTATGGGTCGTGGGCCGTCTGGGCCTGTATGGAAAGATCTAGCCAGCCCCTTGATGGCGTAACAGTTAAGCTAGATTTATCCAGCCCATGTATCTGCATGGGCTGGGCGCAATTTTCATTTCTGGAAGAAAAACACTCTTCGTGTCCAAAAAATTGGTCATGATTCATGAACACTAACATCCCTATTGTTGTCACAAAAGGAAAAACACTATCTTGTTCTCATATAATCGGTGTCATGTATACATTGTCAGTAAGAGAACATATCACTATTTCCCAAAAAAGAAAAGAGCATATCACTAAGCTGCAGTTCTCTTTGCCCAGAAAATGTAAGCAGAAACTACCAAGACAAATCATCTGCATTCATGGGTAGGAAGCACCGAAGCAGGAGCATCTGCTCAACACAAACACACACACACACACACACACACAGCCATATCGCCTGGTCGGAAATCCCAGTGAAAGTAAAAACAGCACCGGGATTCGTTGGGTCCAGTGGCCGGAACGCGTCCCATCAGCCTGGGCAAGCATCAGATCCGAGGAATCCTGACGGTGACGGGGCGCACCATAATGCGGTTACGCGTCGGTGTCATGGTCGGTCTCGCCGGCCATGGCAGATTGGCAGGCATCTTCTCCTCCCCCACCACCCCGAAGCAGCCGGTGCGGTGGTGGTGAGTGACAGCGACAGATCACGGACGGGACTGCGGAGCCGTGAATTCCATTTCCAGGGCCAATTATTGCGCCACCGCCACCCCCGACCACCACCCATTCCGCTCCCACCCAGTGCCACTGCCATGGCGTCACCGCTGGCAAGTACCGCCGCATTCATGGCGCCTCTCGGCCCCGTACGTCCCCCCTGCCCATCGGCATCTGCCTGCCACTGCAATTACAGTACTCTCGACCCTATCCTCGGCAGCTCAGAATCAGAAATCTGAACACGGTCCTTGAGAATCCGGTCGAGCATGGCATGGCATGGCATGGCACAGCTCGATCGACCCAGCAATGGAGTTCTTCTCGCATACATACAGTACTACAGTATTAATGTACAAGCATCGTCGTTCTCCCGACCGAACTTTCCCCTACGGAAAACCTCTTCTTTAATCCAATTAAAACAAGCTGCTGCCTTTCCATTCCAGGGGTTGAGGAAAAGGAACCCGAGGAGAGACAAAGGGAAGCTACTGGCGCCGGGACGGCTAATGGCTGGCGGCGGTTGGCCGGCTGGCGACGACGAGGCCGTTCGGCGCGGGGGCGACGGCCGCGACGGAGGCGGCCGACGAGGCGGCGCTGCCTGGCGCGAGCACGAAGCGGGAGGAGAAGGTGTAGCTGTAGTAGAGGCTGGCCGCGTCCGCGTCCGGGTCGGGGTCGCCGAAGCCGCTCTGGTCGAAGTTGCGCGCGTAGCTCAGCGGGTCGTACTGGCACCCCCGGAGCGCCCCGGCCGCCGACGAGGACGACGACGCCGCCGCCGGCCTGGCCGCGCACAGCGCCTGCCTCCCCTGCCGCCGCAGCCGCCGGACGAGACGCCCGAGCCCGCACCCGCCGCCGCAGCACCGCCGTGCCGCGGGGCCGACGACGCCGCCTCCGCCGCCGCCGCGCCGGCAGGTCGACGTAGCCCCCGCGCCGCTGCCGCCTTCCACCATGGCCGCTGCCCCCGTCTCTCTCCCTCTCGCTCCTCGCCTCCCCGCGGCGGCGCGTGCGCGGCCGTGTGTCCAGTGCAGTGCGGCGCAGTGTGGCTGTGGCTGTGGGACTTGTGCCGGGCGCGTGTGTGGGTTGTTGGTAGGTAGACGTGTCCGTGACCGTGATTTATAAAGGTCCAGCTGTGGCCGCCAGCCCATTCGCGCAAACCGTTGGCGAACTGAGGCGGTCCGGCCACGGACCAGTGCACTCTCCGTGAGTATTTTGGTGTCAAGCTGGGGAGGATGAGACCCGTGCACCACATCGGGCAGGGAAGGTCTTATCTTTTCTTTTTCTTTTCTTAGCAAAGAAGATATTTTATTTTTCTTTCCTTAGGAAAGAAGATATTTTCTTTTCTTAGAAGTAGAAGGCCCTTTTCTTTTTCTTACATACCTTGTTCAAAGAGCAACTGATGAGGACAAAGCATGCTCTGAATATCTTATCAAAGCTTAGTGTTGTTTCGGATGGAGTACCTGTGGCCGAACTGGGTGTTGCGGCGGCATGGTACCTTTGGTGGCAACGACGACAACTTGTGAAAGGAATCGTGATTCAAAACCCTGAGAGAATAGCACAGTCTTTCGCTCCTAGCTACAAATTACATCAGATCGATGTCTCCGAAGCTCCCGACTCAGAAGAAAGAACATATGTGGAAAAAACCGTCTCATGGACTGATCTGGAGGTTGCGGTACTATTGTGCGTGATGAACGGGGTGGCTTTTTAGCAGAAGTTACTTGGTTTCTTCCGTATATCCGAGATGTTTGATTCAACGGAGCTCATGGCAATTAGAAATGGAATATACTTGTTGGCAAATTTGGGGTGCAACAATGTGAAGATTGAATCTAATTGCTCGTTTGCGGTGGAGGCAATTCAACAAATGGACTCTTATCTAGAACCCTACATTACATTGATCTCTGAATGCAAGCAGTTGATAATGAACTTTGCCGAAAGTATCATTTAAACACTATTTCTGAAAAGCTAATCATGCAGCAGATGAGCTAGCTAAGCATTCTTTTAGTGCTAGATTTTCAGGTTCTTGAGATGATGTAAACCTAACTTTTACTTGTAAACGACATGACCATCATATGAGAAATAAAGTCTATTTGCTATAAAAAAAGGCATTTTCTCTTCCTGCAACTAGAAGGCAAAGACGACATATTAGAAATGTCCAATCTTCGGCTAGAAAAATGTCCAACCTTACGAGACCATTTTCTAAAAGGCAGCAAATAAAATGCCATGTTGTATATCAATGATGTCTTCCTCATGTATTCGTCGGTGGCAGTGGCACGTGATGAGCAAATCTCCATGCCGCGTCTAGATCTCCGAAACATCCTTGGAGACAGATAACAATCTTGAGGCACGGGACGGAAAGTTGTCAGACGGAACCAGGAGAAATCAACGACAAGGAAGTAA